AGAGAGAGAGAGAGAGAGAGAGAGAGAGAGAGAGAGAGAGAGAGTGGAGTGGAGTGGCTTATTTATGCCAAAGGTCAAAGGGGAAGCTCTGATTCTTCCAGTGACATGCAGCAGAGTTGTTTGTGTGTGTATGAGTCTGTGTTGTAGATTTTCACCACAACAGCCCCTCTTCCACCCAGATGAGTAGATCCAAAGTCGATGCAGCATCACTTCTAATACAGACAATGAAGCACACTTGAGAGGGGCCATTCCCAACAACGAAATCGTTTTAGCTCTATAGCAAGCAACATGTATGAGAATAAGTCCGTTATGTCCCTATGTTGACTATCTTATTTTGGTTACTTTGGGGGTACCCTTTTTATTTGTTCTTGCAGTTTCCCTTTTGACTGTGCCTCTCACGTACAAGACTGGACACGTTGATTGTGGTTCGGCACCAGCTCCTCACATCCTCGATCACTTTGTTGTTGAGCAGCTCGCGAAGATAGAACCAAGTGAAAGAAGGGAGGAACCAGAATTAACAGAAGAGATTATGGATGACATCATCAAACAATTGCAAGCTGCGTTAGAAACAGAATTGAAGAAGGAAGAATATGAGAAGGCACACGGGGAAATTCGAGCATCAACGTTTGATTGTGCACAATGCCAAAAAACAACTGCAAGGAACGATATGACATGCAGGACATGCAACACGGAAACCGTGTAGTGAAACACAAGACAACACAAGCAAGGCAATCACACTGCAAGGGACGACAGGGCGAGTGGACCAGCAGCTCGGCAACCGTGGAGCGGAGCACAAGGCACCAGCAACAAGGCCACCAACCTACAAGGCACACAAGCGGCAAACACGGAAGGCATGGCCAGCGGATGAGCAGCAAGGCAGCGGAGCAGCGAAGCGCAAGGCAACACCAGCAACACGGTCACACCACACAGTGAACACATCAATCTGCAAAGAACCACATGCGAAGCAAGCAGGACAGGCAGAAAGGCAGCGGCAGAGCGCAGACGAGGCAGTCCACACATCCAACACAGAGCAAAGCAGCACGTGACCTACTATTGAACCCCGCAGACTGTTGGTTCCCACCACCCACTGAACCAGAAAGGCACTCCGATGAGCATCCGTCTTCACCCACAGGCAACACAGACACCCCAAACCGAGCGGCCCTCCTAAGAGTGCCTTCTCTCTCCCTGTGCGGTGTGATACTCCCATCCTCTCCCCTTCCTTCTGTGTATGTATGGGCATACCTGGAAGTCTATGTGAGCAAGTGTTGATCTTCTGACAGCAAGCAACCAGGTTCATAACACTTGCCCCTGGGACACGACGTTTGCCTGGAGAAGTGTCCTTTGCCTGTGGGATATGACTTTTCAATATGAGACATGACTTTTGCTTATAGAATGCAACCTTTGCCTCCGGGATGTGACTGTTCGCCGGGTGCCTGTTGGACTTGACTCCTAAGGTACCTGACTGTGACCTTTCTGAACTGGCCGACTTGGCCTCCCTTGGCCTGGGAACCTGACCCTGAAATTCGAACTGCAGTCCAGAACTGGAACCACCGACTGTTTGGCACTACTTAAGGGTGCTTGGTTGGGCACACAACAAAGTACTTAGAAAAAATCAGAGAAATGACAAACGACAGGGGGAAGACAGATTTACATACAACTGATTGTGTGTGTGTGTGTGTGTGTGTGTGTGTGTGTGTGTGTGTGTGTGTGTGAGAGAGAGAGAGAGAGAGG